TGGCGAAATCTTGGCTCACTGCAACCTCTGCCTCCTGTGTTTAAGTGATTCTCCTGCCTCAGCCTCCCAAGTAGCTGGGATTACAGGCATGCTCCACCACGCCCGGCTGATTTTTGTGCTCTTTTAGTAGAGATGAGTTTCTCCATGTTGGTCAGGCTGGTGTTGAACTCCTGACCTCAGGTAATCCACCTGCCTCAGCCTCCCGAAGTGCTATGATTATAAGCATGAGCCACTAAGCCTGGCCAAATTCACCTCTTTTTATGTAGAAAAAAACTAGGAAGAGTTAAGCTAAGCATGACTATAGATCAGAGCTGGTTCATTAAAGCTGGTTTTGAATCCTGTGCTAATTAACTTTTTTGTATTTTAGGTTAAAGCTTTCTGCATCGAACCAAGATAAACTGTTGGCTGATATAAATAAGAACCTGTGGGAAAAAATGAGACACTGCTCTGACGAAGAGGTACTTTTGTCTTATTTTCTGAATGGGAATCAGTAAAGACATTCTGAACAATGTCTATTGTGAAATAAGTAACTATTACTTGGTCATTAGTGATGAGTTATTTAACTTATTTTTTAGGTGTAATGTGATACCAAGGTCTTATTTAATTATATGCAATTGTTAATGTGTAATATTTACAAACCTGAGATGATCAATTAATCAATTTAATTTATCAATTTAAACTTCAATATATAGTTGAAGTTTATTTAAGGTTCCCTCCTTCCTATTTGCCTTTCACTTAGTTTTAGACAAAAAAAAGATTTGTTTTAATTGATTAAATAGTAATTGGCCCATTTTATATGTGCCCTAATATATTAAAAGTTTCTTTAAGAGCCTGTCATTTTCTAATTAATAATATGAATAATCAATTAAAGACAGGAATCAAAACTAAAATCTTTTTTTCTGGTCTTAGACAATTATATAGAATTAAATTTGAAAATGACAAATATCCTGCCCTTAGGATGGGCAAATTGTAGCATTCCTAGACCATTTACCTATTCTGACTCATTTGTTTTAGTACAATGTACTCTGTAATTTTCCTTTTCAGTTACAGGACTTTGGAATTTACCTTAACAAAATAAAATCACGTTTCACCAAGATGACTAAAGTCTTCACTCACCAAGGAAAAGTGGCTCTGTATGGCAAGCTGGTGCAGTCAGCTCAGGTAATTTGAGACAGTTAACTTCATAGAAAGAAAGAGATATTAAAAATACTTTATAGTGGTTATAGAATATGAAGAATCTTCCTTAGAAGATATGTGAATAAGACTTGGGCAGAAACTTAAAATTAAGAGGTAAGGTTCAATTGTTAAAAGTGGCCGATCCTGACATCTTGAGGAATACTGGAATATAATTACCAAAGTGGATCTATGTCTCATCTTAAATACTATTATCCATCATACATACTGAAATAAAATATATAGGATTCTGGTCTCCCATTGCCAAGGACTATACCATAGTATTATCTTCTTCATAGTCCATACCTAGCTCTATATGTATGTACATGTGTTTAAAGTAGCATTTCCCAAAATAATTAGCTTTTTTAAAAGGCTCTAGATAAACTTCCCACCGGATGTGGTGGCTCACACCTGTAATCCCAGCACTTTGGGAGGCTGAGGCGGGCGGATCACGAGGTCAGGAGTTTGAGACCAGCCTGACCAACATGGCAAAACCCCATCTCTACTAAAAATATAAAAATTAGCCAGGCATGGTGGTGTGCACCTGTAATCCCAGCTACTCGGGATGCCGAGGCAGGAGAATCGCTTGAACCCGAGAGGCGGAGGTTGCAGTGAGCTGAGATTGCACCACTGCACTCCAGCCTGGGCAACAGAGACTAGTGAGACTCTGTCTCAACAAAAAAATACTTTTTAAAAAATTAGGTTTAAAAAAAAAAGATAACTTCAGAAAGCTGTAAATTCTATGACGAAAAAAAAAAAAAAAAAAACTTCCCAGTGGCCAATAAATTTGGAAATGTTGCAAACAATATGCCCTTTCAGAGAAATACAAATTTTTAAAAATCTAAACATAAATGCTAAATTCTTTTTGACCAATGTTTCCCATGTTTAGTTCATCATAGAAATATTTTTAAGTAATAAATAGTAATATATTCCATGGAACACATATAGAAATGGTAAAATAAAGTACCAAAATTAGTTCTATGTCAATATACTTTTTATATGATTTTATTTTTTTAATGAAATATTTAATAAATTTGTAAAATAAACTTATTTTCCAGAGTTCTTTTGGCTAAAACTTATTTTAATAAAATTTACTTTTGTTTTTTAAGTTCCAACTTAAAGCTTTGACTTTCATTTTAAGATTTGCCTGTTCATGATCCTGATAGAGCAATTATGTGAGCAATTTGAACGATTTGTAATACTTTGGAGGTTTAATTTGACAGTCTAATCTTTTGTATTTAGAATGAAAGGGAGAAACTTCAGACAAAGATAGATGAGATGGATAAAATACTTAAGAAGATCGATAACCGTCTCACTGAGGTGGAAATAGGTAAAGTATTTTAAATTCTTTTCCAAAAGAAAATTTAATTTTATATAAATGCTTTTCTACAGTAGAGTATTGGTGTCACTATATTGAAGACTTGTATTAGCAGCTTGAGATATTAAATTAGAGCAAATTGGCTGGGTGTGGTAGCTTATGCCTGTAATCCCAGCACTTTGGGAGGCCAAAGCAGGCAGATCACCTGATGTCAGAAGTACGAGACCAGCCTGGCCACCATGGTGAAACCCCATCTCTACTAAAAATATAAAATTAACTCTGGGTGGTGGTGCATGCCTATAATCCCAGCCACTTGGGAGGCTGAAGCAGGAGAATTGCTTGAACCCAGAGAATTGCTTGAACCCGGGATGCGGAGGTTGCTGTGAGCTGAGATTGCACCACTGCACTCCAGCCTGGGCAACAGAGCAAGACTCCATCTAAATGAGCGAATGAATGAATGAATGAATGAATGAATGCAAATTAAAGTTCCTTTACTATAGTCATCCGTAATACAGTCAACAAGAGCTGCTTAAGATAACCTAGACTAATTTTGTGTGTTTTTTGTTTTGTTTTGTTTTATTTTCTGAGATAGAGTCTCACTCTGTCACTAGGCTGGAGTACAGTGGTGTGATCTCCCCTCATTGCAACCTCCGCCTCTCGGGTTCAAGTGATTTTCCTGCCTCAGCCTCCCAAGTAGCTGGGACTACAGGTGTCCACCACCATGCCTGGCTAATTTTTGTATTTTTAATACAGCTAGGGTTTCACCATGTTGGCCAGGGGTCTCGATCTCCTGACCTCATGATCCGCCCACCTCAACCTCCCAAAGTGTAGGGATTACAGGCATGAGCCACCATGCCCAGCCAGTTTTGTGTTTTTATAACAGATGAATTTATCTCAGTTTGAAAACTGTCTATCCTTTCAGTTTGGCCTTTCAGAAGCCCAAGTTGTTAGTGTTACTCTGAAACTCCTTTCTCAAAAATCACATAATTCTGCTTAGTCATCAAATTTTGTTCTTCCCAGTCCTTAGCCATTTTGACCTCTTTCAGAATTTGACATTGATGAATGTTCTTTTTTGCCTGAAACATTCATCCCCTTAACCTGTGTGATAGTGATAGTGTACTACCTTGACTCAGTTGTTTTCTCCTGGCTGCTGCATCCAACTTCTCTGTTGGCCTCTTTTTTTTTTTTTTTTTGAGACGGAGTTTCGCTCTTGTTCCGCAGGCTGGAGTGCAATGACGCGATCTCGGCTCACCGCAACCTCCGCCTCCTGGGTTCAGGCAATTCTCCTGCCTCAGCCTCCTGAATAGCTGGGATTACAGACATGCGCCACCATGCCCAGCTAATTTTTGTATTTTTAGTAGAGACGGGGTTCCACCATGTTGACCAGGATGGTCTCGATCTCTTGACCTCGTGATCCACCCGCCTCGGCCTCCCAAAGTGCTGGGATTACAGGCGTGAGCCACCGCGCCCGGCTTTTTTTTTTTTTTCTTAAGATGGAACCTCGTTCAGTCGCCCAGTCTGGAGTGCAATGGAATGATCTCCAGCTCACTGCATCCTCCGTCTCCCAGGATTAAGCGATTCTCCCACCTCAGCCTCTTGAGTAGCTGGGGTTACAGGCACCTGCCGTTGAGCCCGGCTACTTTTTGTATTTTTGTAGAGATGGGGTTTCACCATGTTAGCCAGGC